AATTAGGCTGCTGAAATTCATATTTTACGGCGTATAATGAATATTTTTACCATCTTTAAAAGTAGTATTATAGAGTATTTGTGTTAAAAGAGTACATTGAGCTATTTATCAATAATCTTTTCGTGGAGAAAATCAAAAAAACATTTCTTAAAATGTAATTAGATATTTGAGGGTAATAAAATATAAAAAATAGGGTTTAAATAGTTTTCACTTCATTTTAAAAGTAAATTTATTTAAGGAGGTCAAAACAAAATATTTACGGAAATCTGCTTTCTTTTTTTGTTTTACTAACTGGTAGTCCTTTGACTAGGTTTTGCACTTTTTTTAAGCTTTTTTTTTGGCAGCAGTTTTTACCTTAGGAAATATTGGTATATTCATGCGAAGCATACATGGCCGTCAACGCCGGAGAGGCTGGGGGTCATGTCCTTCTCTACTTTTTTTTTTTGCGAGGACCTTTTGATTTAGAAATATTGGCAATTATTTTAGAAATTATGGATTTTATTTTAGAAATTGAGGGATTGACCCTTTGAAGGCCGTGTCAACAATATTAGCATAAGACTATTTAAATCACGCTTTAAGTAGAAAATCAATATTTTAGTCTATAACATGAAAACTGTACATGTACCAATAAAATAATTAAAACAAAAATTGTTGGTATTACATAGTAGAACACTCATGTAACCGTTATTTTAAAAATAGTGACCGAATTTCGAAGTAATCGGTAACGCTTTGCGGTATAAGTAGCAAAAAACTGACAAAACTTTAACTAAAACTACAATCAAATCCTACACTAGTCATCCAATCAGGCTGAAATTTTGTCCAGAGTTTGGTGTGACTATTAGCTATATTTGCACCAATTTTTATCAAATCTGTATTAACCGTGCATAGACAACTCTAACTAATAAAACATTAATAAATTATCTAAAAGTAATAATTATTAACATGAATAAATTATCTAACAATAATTGGTTTAAAGCTTTTTTGCATCATTCTTGTTCGGTGATCTAATTTTATGTTCACATTATATTAATTGCGCTGGATAAACTATACTGCTATAAGTTATGTATATACTTTATCTAGTGGTTTTTAATAAACTAAGAGGACGTCATAAGTTGAACCTTTTATACATTTTTTTGTTCGTAGTATTTAAGTTTGTCAGGGTAATATCAATTCTATCATAGACTTTGAATGAACTTTTTAAACTTTTCCTGTCTGGTAAAAATCATTTTTAAACCATTTTTCTTGATTTTACTGTTTCTTTTTTGAAAGAAACAAGCTATTCTGATAAAAAGAATCGAAGTGTTTCAATTTAGGAAACAAGTTGTCTTGATTGGAACAAAATGGTATCTTTGCAAAAACAAATTTATTTCCAATAACAGTGCAATCAATTAAGTCAAATTATGGTTAAAAACCTTAAGTGTCTCTAGATTACTCGACATGTCATTTTTTTGGTACTCAACTTGAGGGCTAGGGCCATGGCCTACTTTATAGAAGGCCTCGACACCGTGCGGGAATTTTTTTGACTGAAGGCCGATTTAAAAATAAAATGGCGGTTTATTAAAAGAGAAAAATGCTGTACAGCTTTGCTAACACTAATTATTTAATAACTAATTATTCTATTTGAAAAAATTTTGAATGCATTTTTATAAAATGAGTTTTTTGACGTTAATTTCACAACTATTTTATAAGCTAAAATAGTTTGTAAAGTTGAATAGAAACATTTTAGATCAAATTTTTGAATATACAAGAAATAATAAATAATCAAAAAAAATACACCAATAACAAATCTAATTTTTTTTGTACTAAATCTTCCCAAAAAAAAATTACATAAGCTTGATTTCTTTTAGTTTTGCTTCTTTATTACTTTTGGGAGTGTGAAGTAATGCAAAGTTCTTTAAAAAAATGTTTGCTAGTGTTTGGCATTGTTTCTTTGCAATAGAAAAACTATACAACTCTGCAATAAAAGCAAACTATCGTATCAGTATTGTTCTGCAAACTTTTTTATTTAATAAACAAAAAAATATGTAACAAAATTAAAGAACACTGAGATAGAGTATCAGATGGAATAGTTAATCCTCCCCTATTTAAAGTATTCAAATAAGTTCCATTTTTTCATAATATGTAGTTGTATCTTCACCAATTTCTTCAGTAGAACACTTTTGAACATAACCAGCAATATAGACAATAGCATAAAAAATTTCTATATTTATACTATCTTCTAGATCTGGTAAATTGTAAATTATATCAATTTCCATATCATCTAAATCTTTAAGACATAAAAGACAGTCATGGCCATCATTTCCTTCTACTTCGATATTAAGCTGTAGCACCAGCTTAGCATGTTGAATACGTACTTTTTCGATAACTGATTTAGCAGTTATAAAGTACGTATTTTCCAAAATTCTATAATCAACTCCAAAAAAATAATAGTACCCTTGACACTTTCTTGGTCTATTTTAGGATGAGTTTTTAGAGCTGCAACTGTCTCTTCACTAAATACTTGTAAACAAATGCTTACTTTTTGCCGTTCTATTGGTTTAGGATTTATTGATGTTTCAGTCAATCTGGATAACTTTATTAATTGGTTTTTTTCAAGTGTATATAAGTTAACTAAATCTCTCCAATTTGCAATGTAAATTATCTCATTTTGAGTAAACTGTAACTGACCTAGTTTTTCTGTCAGCCAATTGTTTCTTATGCACTTTAAAAGATGGACATATTCATATAAAATATAAGAGCCATTTTGACATAACCAAGGTTTTCCGTCTACGGTTTTGAATTTAGAAAAAAAGCTTTGATTAACTTTATTTCCATCTGTAATAATTGCAATAACTTTACCATTACTCATAGAACTTTCTATGGTGTCTACAATTAATTTGCACTGTTCTTGTTGGAAATCTGATGTCAGATTACTAACTGGTAAAACTCTTGCTAGAAATTCAGGTCCACCATAAAGGCTTTTTACCATGAATGAAAGTACAGTAGTAGCTGATTTCTCTGGATTATTTACAGCTTTTCCAAAAATACTTCCACTTTGATATAATAATGCTGCTTTTACATAAACTTCATCTATCAATAAAACACAATTTCTTTTTTTTTCATCAAGGTTCGATAACACAGAACTTAAAAAAGTTAAATCATCTTGAGAGTTTATTTTTGAAGTTATGCGTGTCAAAGTTCGAATACTTGGCAACTGATAATCATAACATAATCGATGGTAAGTGGAACGACTTGTTGCAAAATATTCAAAAGCTCTGGTTATTATATCTGGAGAATACACAGCACAGCCAACAGTATGATCTCCCATTACATTTAAATGCTCAAACATTACTTGAGTTTTATGATCCTTATCTTCAACTTTCAGATATCTAAGGGCTTCATTTAAAGATGACTTTGTACAAAGGGAAGTGATTCTGTTATTTGCCAGAGATTTAATAGTACATTTTGAACCAAAATGAAATGCTTCAAACGACAAACTTTGATTAATTATTAGCAAAAATAGTGGAACACCACAATTAAATATTTTAGATTGGATAAAAATTGAATTATTTTGCTTGTATGAAATCAAATCATTATAAGTTGATAAGTGTTTTTCGATTTCTTCAAAATTTAAATTATCAATTGTTTTATATTCTTCTAAATCATCTTTTCTGATACCTCTTTTTGAAGAAGAAGATAAAGTCTTTCTTGTTTTAGGTGGTGGAGAGGATAGACAACTTTTAGATATATTTGGAAACACTGATGGAGGATGAATCGGTTTCAATTTACCACGACATAATTTAAACTCTGCATCATCTGGCCAATGCAATTTACAAACAACGGTGTAATTTGTTACGGTCCAATTTAAACGAGGGATGCTCATAAACCATTTAGTTTTTTTACATACTTCACGAGGGAATTTATACACAGATACATTACAAGCTGAAGACTTATAATTTAAGGAACAGTTTGGAACACAACATTTTAAAGGCATTCTAAATAATTTAAATTAAATTTACTTGAAGAATAGCTGTAAATTTTTCTGAAAAAACGTAACTAGTATTTTAAAAAATGCGTTTGTAACAGTTTTAAATCGGCCTTCAGTCAAAAAAATTCCCGCACGGTGTCGAGGCCTTCTATAAAGTAGGCCATGGCTAGGGCCCTCAAGTTGAGTTTTACAGTTTGCCCGAAATTGGCAAACTGTGCATAGATTCAGAATAATCCATCATTAAACATCCAAACTACTTCTGCTTTAGATACTTAAGCTATTTTTAATTATTAAAACAAGGTTTAATAATTAAAAAATTAAGTCAGTTGATTTTTGAATGCCTAACAAGAGCTGAGTTTAACTATGTTGTGTACTTTTTTGATGCAAATTGTTATATTATAAATAAAACCCTAAATCTTTATTTAAATAAAATAGCTGTTAAAGTGCTTTCTCATTTATTTATTTAATATTAGTTTATTTTATTTTATTTTTTTAGGAAAGGGTAAATAAAAATACAAAGAAATAATTACAAAAAAATTTTCATTAGGATATTTCAATAAATCAATTATCAATTAAAACAATGTTTTAATTGATAATCATATTGATGATTACAAAAATTTACAGAAAGCAATATAAAACAATTGCATAACAAAAGCGTCTTACTGTTTTTTTGACAAACGCAAAAAAATGTTAAAAAAAAAAAATTAAAATTACAAAAAAGAAAAGTTAAAATTAAATTTTACTGAATTTTACTTCAACCTGATAAATTTAATTTTGCGTGTACACAATATTTTCAAATGAGAAAAAAAATTACCCTGGAAAATATATCATTTCTGAAAATTGATTGAATAGCATTGTTTTGTTTTTAAATTTTACCATTTTATTCATAAAATTGTTTTGCCAGTGAAAAAATGATACATAACACATAGCGGTGTACCTCAAGCTAACTAATAAAGCAATTGAAAATTTAAAAATATATAAAAACGACATGCGCATAAAATATTTTTGTTGGAGTTTTAAATAATACTAATAATAAATAAATTAAATAAATTTCTAATTAAACAATTTAGCTTATTTTTAAAATGACTAGCTCAATTATCCTCAGTCGAAATATCTCTAGAATTTTGATAGGCGGTATTTGGCCGAATAGGTGATATTGTCCGTGAAAATTGTTTCATTTGGTCTGCAATATTTTCGAGTTCATCCCAACGAATGTTATCGAGACTACTTTGAAGACGTAATTTCGAACGTAAAGAAGCCAGTTGACTTTCTAGATTGCGATACTTTAGCTGGAATTTATCTAAATCTTCCGTTTTTGATTCGAGCTAAATTTAACAATTTCTGAAGATAAAACTAACAAAAGTATTAAACAATCATAAAAAAAAAACTTATACAAGTATGTACTCATATGTGTATACACATTGAAAATTACCTTTGATCGTAATTCATTTACGTGATCTGTTAACAATACATTATCTCTTTTCAACTCAATATTTTCTTTTTTCTGTTTAGATTCTAAACATTGAGTTTCTTCAAGTTGCGATTGGTAAAGAACACATTGATGTCTCACTATAAACATAATCTGATTTGATATACCGATTTTGGAAGATTAAAAAAAATAAAAAAATAAAAATTGGATTTTAATAGAGTTATTTATCTATTACAATTGTTAGAATTAAGTAACAACAGATGGTAAGATTTTAAATTGGAAGTATGCTTTTTGTTTATATTAATGTTTATATTAATCTGAATTTCAATTAAACTCTAAATTTTTAAAGTAAAAAGGTTTTTAAAAAAGGAATAAACTCTTGATGTGCTAATTAAAATATTTCATACGAAAAAAAAAGAGGGACTCAAATACTTTTCTATATTACAAAAACCTTTATAAAGAAATACAAAACCCTAAAAAAAAGAATCTCAATACTTTTAATTACTAAAAATTTAATATTTCTTCAAAATTATTAGGTGCAAACCGAGGGGCAATTTTAAGGGAGGGTGGGGATGGCGGGTGGGGTCGAAATCCCCCAAAAGAAGACTATTTTCACCTTATAGTCGGTTTTTCAAAGAATATTGCTGGCAAGTCGGCATTGACATATTTTAGTTTTAAGTTTTAAGGATATTTATTTTTTAAAGAAAGCAGTCAACATCTTTTAAAGATTCGCCCCCCTCCCATTTCAAAAAATTGTTTTTCATTTTGCAAAATGTCAACTTACATTTTTTATGACTTTCTTCTTCATTTAATAACTAAAGAAAAAAAATTATATTATACAATATATTAAATTATATAGAGTATGGAATATAAGTATAGGTTCATTACTATATTAAACAAATGAAATATGAAACATAAATACATTATATATATATATATATATATATATATATATATATATATATATATATATATATATATATATATATATATATATATATATATATATATATATATATATATGAGTGGGTCAGAAGCCAAGGGGTACAAGTGACAATTTTACCAAAATTAAGTTAAGTATAGAATTTGATAGAAGAAGCAAACAAAATTGTTGGTGGCCAAGGGATACAAGTGAATCTCTGCCCTGTGCTGCTTTCTACTGGAAAAACATAACAACAGCTGAGTATATTTCAGCTGTTTTTGTCATTTTTGGAGGCCAGGGGGTACAAGTGACAAACTCTTACACTTGTACCTGTTGTGCTCCAAAGTTTTAGGTTATTGCTGAGTGTTGTTTTGCAGAAGTCAAGTGTGTGTTTCTCTGAAGTTACTATTTATAGGTTAACTATTGAAAAGTGTTATCTGGAGTTTTAACAAAATACCTTTTTTAGTATTCTTACAAGAATTGTTATTAAGGAATGTTTTAAATTTACAATCATGAGTGACTCAGGCCCTAATGACCATCTTTCTAACCTATTTGGAGGTAAGTCATAACTTTATGCTGAATAATAACACTGAAATAATACGAGTACACAACAATTTTATTTTTTCATTACATTATCCTTAGGTCTAGAAGTGTTACTATAAAACAGGATTGTTTAAACAGAACTAACCTAAAATTAAATTTACTCTCATTCCAGTAAGTTTGGTTAGGTTCAGCACGTTTGATTAGGTACTAATGGGAACTACCAATATTAGTAATATGATCCCTCAAAATGCTAAAGCTAAAGCTAACCAAAACTAACTAAACTAATTAATACATTGTACTCACTTTTCTTATGACCACAACTATTTAAGTATTACCATAGTTTATTGTAATTTTATTCATTATTATTTTATGACAGTAGTTTGAATCCTAGAAAACGAATACAAATTATGTATTAGAAAAACGTAAACAAATAACAAAGTAAACAACTTGTCAATCGATAGTAATAATCTAACGAAATTTTCATCCAATAATATTGTAGGACGTCTGCGGAACTGCACCCCTAACAATTATTTTACACAATTCTTTTTGCTGAGATTTTCATTAGTTGTGTTTTGTTTTTCTAGATGACGATACTGATTTTGATCCAAATTATAAAGAAGAAAGTCCAGATTCTGAAGACTCTAACTCAAAGGGACATCAAAGAGACTCAAGTGGCCTTCAAAGAAATGAAGGTAGGCCTATTTTATTATTGATCGTCAAATCTCAATATGACCTAGAAAACAATATTTTCTTTCTACCCTACACGTACACCCTTGCATAACACCTACACAATATTGTTCAATAATTGTACCTTGATCGTTCAAACCTAAAACCTACACTAAAATAAATAAGGTAGTAAAAAATAACTAACATTATGCCTAGCTGTAACAAAACTAATCCTATGGTAATTTTATGGATTTCCTTTGTGTTTCTCCCTTTCCTTCCTGTTACATAGGTTTGGACTGACAAAAAAATTTGACACTAACTTTTTTTTAGATAATGAGCTTGGAGATGACCCAGACGAGCCACCACCAAAAAGAGCGAAACATCCTGGACGTAAAAAAATGAGAAGATTCAACGTATGGAAAAGAAACATTTCTCATAAAAAATGCAATGAAGGTGAATCTTATGTCGATAAAAAAGGTATCCACCATGAAAAGAAGCAAGTAAGAGAATGTATTCATAATTGTAGGTTTAAGTGCAATGACAGAGTCAGTGAACAAGAAAGGCAAAACATTTTCAAACAATATTGGGAACTTGGAAGCTGGGAGCTCCAATCTGCCTCTCTAAATTCATCAATCAAAGTAAAAGAACCTCGAAGGAAGAAAAAAACCGGACCACGATCAAAAACTTTGAGTTGCCAATTTTTTTTCCTTGACAAGAGAGTTTGCAAAAAATTCTTTCTCTGTACTCTTAATGTAACTAACAAACAAGTGACAAATGTAATTGATAAAAAGAAGAATTCTACCACTGGAATTGCTCCTAGGGACAAAAGAGGACACAAAGTTCCTGGAAATAAGATTTGTGAAGAGAAAATTGAATTTGTGAAAGAGCATATTCGTACTTTTCCAAAATACACAAGCCATTACTCTCGCACCATTACACATGCTCCAAATAGGAAGTACCTAAGTTCCAATTTGAACATCAAAAAGTTGTACAACCTCTACAAAGAAAGCTGCATTGAACATGCAGTAGAGCCAGTGAAAGAAAGCTACTATCGTAATATCTTTAATATTGAATTTAACCTGAGCTTTCACAAACCGCAAACTTACACTTGCATCACATGTGACAGACTTCAGAACACGATTGATAATGGGCCGCCAGATGAACAAAACAATGCTGTTATACAAAAGGAGTTACATCTGCGGAAAGCAGATTTGGCAAGGCAACAAATAACGGACGCTAAAGAAGCTGTTAAAGATGATGCAAGTCAATTAGTGATTTGTTTTGACCTGCAAAAGATGTTACCGTCTCCAGTTTTGACTTGCTCAAAGGTTTACTATTCACGGCAATTGTGGACTTACAATTTTTGTGTACACAATTTGGGAAATGACAATGCCAGCATGTTCATGTGGCATGAAGCCCAGGCCACTAGGGGTTGTGAGGAGATGCTTTCTTGCCTATTGCGACTTGTGAGTACACTGCCAACAAGAGTAAAGAAAATTACAATGTTTAGTGATAATGCAGGTGGGCAGAATAAAAGCCGCTTCACGGTAAAGTTTTGGATGTACATAGTACGTACTACACACATCGAAGAGGTGGACCACAAGTACCTATTATCTGGCCACTCGTTTAATGATTGTGACAGAAATTTTGGTACTATTGAAAGAGCCCGCAGGAATATTGGAACAGGAATATTTGTGCCAGAGCACTGGATGGATGTAACTGCTAAATCTTCCAAGAGATTTTTAGTAGTTAACATGAAAGATCAGGATTTTATTTCTTTGCAGCCTTTGGAAGATCATTATGTTAAAGCAGTAACAGGTATTCGTTGTATGCAATGGTTAAAGTTTAAGAAGTCAGATCCTGACACACTCTTCTACAAGACAACTTTCAATACGGATATGCCTTTCTCTAAGTAAAACATGAAGCCTAAAGAGGTTCCAACTCAACGAGTTCCACGACAACTATCTGCCAAGAATGCTGCACCAGGAATAAAAGCAAGCAAGTACAAAGACTTGAAGAACTTGCTTCAGTTTATCCCACCACAATACCATGCCTTCTACAAGTTTTTGCCAGTTCAGCGGGTACGGCAACAACCTCGAAGGGGAGCGCCAGTGCCAACCAATGATGATGTTGGTGAAATCGAAGAAGAAGATGGACCCGAAGATGTTTTGGAAAGTGACTCTGACATTGAATAGTTAATTTGGACAATGTAGCAACTCTCAGAAGTTTTTTCATGTATATTAAAGTTGTTTTTTCACTCTCTTTACTGAAGATTTTTCTTTGTAACTTAATAACCTTTGGACGACAAGGGGTACAAGTAACGCTTGTTATCACTGTACGGTGATAACAGCCATGTAGGATATAAATTTTTTTATAAAATATGTTTCTAAATTTAAGTTATAATGTACACAACCAAACAATAATAAATTTACTGTGTTATACCTCTTGGGTATTTAACAAAAATACTTTAACTTTAAACAGCTGTATCTCAAAACTATGAAAATGTCACTTGTACCCCTTGGCTTCTGACCCACTCATATATATATATATATATATATATATATATATATATATATATATATATATATATATATATATATATATATATATATATATATATATATATATATTTATATATATTTATATATATATATATATATATATATATATATATATATATATATATATATATATATATATATATATATATATATATATATATATACATATATATATATATATATATTGTTATTCACGTCCTCAAGGCCAAGAAGGCCACTACAGACGAGGAGGCTACTTAATAGTGGTTATAACCCTCTCTCAACTCTATAACTCCGAAACACAAACCTTGACGAACAAGGCCGCTCCGCAGAGAAACAAGTTGAGCGCGGTACTACCAGGGACGTGGTGGGGATCGAAAATATATATATATATATATATATATATATATATATATATATATATATATATATATATATATATATATTTATATATATACATATATATATACAAGGCTATCCACAAGGCTATCCTTATTCCATATGCTATTACTGATTTAATTCCAAAATTTGAATAAAATTAAGTAATATTTAGAGGTAACAAATTTATAAGATATTTTAAATTCAATATCGAAAATTCACGAAATTTTATTTATTGATTTCTGATTATGTAAGTTATTTTTCTATTATACTTTAATGTTTCTTAAAACTAAACAAACTTTAAAAACAAGCCTTAGCTTGATAATATAATCATGAAACAATATTAAACAATAGCTTCTTAAAAGTCTAGAAGTGTTCTTAGTGAAACATAAGAGCTGCTTTCGTTGGAACAGGAAATTTTTCCGATGGCTGGTCACTAGTTGCAACAAATACTGTTTCTGAGTTTCATCCTTTGTCAAGGAAGAATTAAAAGATTGAATGAGTGCAACGCCTCTTTCTGCACAATCATTTACAACCTTTAGAACTTTTACGCTAGTTAACATTGATTGGAAGGTTGTGTCAGAAGCCCAGTTGGTCAGATGCTTTGACATGCTTTGAAGGTTTATGCTTCTTCCTTTCCATTTATTGCTAGAAGATTGAAGATATTCAAAGAACAACTAGTGATGTATGCCTGCAATGGTGCACGATAATCGAAATCTATGAAATCCAGATGTTTGCTTGCATTTGCATTTGGTGGCAGAAAAAAATTGACAACCATAGAAGCTTTAAGCTCATCAACGCGTTGATGAGCTTAAAGCTTCCTATGATCCTAAAGAGAGCAAGAGCAACAAGTGTCTCCGAAAAAAGTGCCGACCAAATGCCTGTAAAAATACCACAAGTGCCAATCAGGAAGATTGACTCTGTCAAGTTCAGATGCCACTTCATTCGTGATGATGGATTTCTTTAACTTTATTGAAGCTGATTTAGAATTGGTTGATGTTGATGGGATGACAAAATTATCATCAGAATTAGAAGAAGACTAGGAGGAGCTATCTGAATCAAGTTGAACAAGAGATGTAGATGGGACTGCAGTCTGTTTTGTTAGAACTTTCTCCAATCTAGCAGCTTCTAGTCAAATTCTGCTTCTTTTACGGGACTCTTTGTCGGTTAATGACTGGTCAATTCCAGCCATGCTGGCACTTTAGGGATCTTCTTGTTGCATTTGCAAGAACTGCTTGTCCTCTTCATTGGTCATGAGTTGCATGGCATCCTTGAAGGAGATATCAAACAGTTCTTCAAGATCAGCTTTAAACTGTTCCTTATTGAACTGGCAACCATCTTTCTGCACTAGTCGATGTTTCTTCAACAAACACTATTTATCGTACAATTTGCAAAGTTTCTGCACTCCAGAGTCAATACGTTGTGTAGGAATCCTAGCCTTTGCCCAAATTTTTAAAGTCGCATTCATAGCCAGTTTTGAACTTCTAGCAATCGTTAGTCCATTTTCAATGTGGTGGAACATAAAATTTTGACAGCACCATTTGTTGGCAATCCAGAACTGAGAATTTCCTCTTCACACTTGCCAATCAGCCAAACTTGTGGTGAACTTCTGGTCATAGGCTGCCCCATTCTTATCTATGATATAAAAAATTTATCACACAAATTTTGTAAAGTACTGTAATTCATTAAAACAGCTTTAAATTATTTAATATAAATATTAATACTATTTATAAATTCATCAATGGTCTAATAATCGCCAATCAACAAAAAATAGTGGGTGCCATTCCCGGACTTCTTTTCATTCCTGCAATCCAGGATTGAAAATTTGAAAGATCCTGGGATTTCCCGGGAACCGGGAAATTTTTTTAATGTCAAAAATCACATTTTTAAAATTTTTTTTCTAAAAAGAAAATTATAATTAAAAAAAACATTGTTTTATAAACTTAGAAAGTTTTATTTCAAGTTTTTAAAAAAAGTTTTCAAAAAACACAAGAAATCAAGTTTTATTTCAAATTTTTAAAATAAGTTTTCAAAAAACACAAAACATCAAACTTTATTTTAAGTTTTTAAAATAAGTTTTCAAAAAACACAAGACATTAACTGAATGGTCTGATAGACCTACTCTTTTCTTTGTTACAATGCAGAAAAGTTACTGGCAGTAGAAAACACTCGTTCAGATTCTGTCGATGTGGGTTTTATTATCATTATGGAATTATAAATTATTTTTAAAGTATTAGTTATGGTACCTGTTGCCGCAAATAATTTCATCTCCCTTTGTACAGATGTTATTTTATCAGGTTTTGCTACCTCCATAGTTTTTTGGGATTTTATTATTGCACTCTCCAAAGACTTTTTCAACAAATCATTTGTAGTTGATGATGAAAGTAAAATAGAATTGTTTGCGTTTGTTGTTGGTACATCAATTGTGTCGCCTAAATTCTAAAGAACTACAAATGATAATTTCACAATCATCAGAAAAATTTTGGATTAGTAAATTTTTTGCTAATTTAGATACTGCTAAAACTGATGATAGAGCAAAAAAAATTCCATTACTACATTCATTTGTATTAGATTTAAAATTTTCTGGATTTTGAAGAAACATTGCAAGCGAAATTAAACCTTTTGATCGTCTTTCTAATAATATTTTCTGTAGGGCTTCTAAGATATTTTTTGATAAGGTACCAGGTAAATCTCTAATGGAATTAAAGAGAAACTGCATGACTCCTTTAGTAGTAACAAGATTACAATCTCTTGCACTGAGTGCTTCAACTGCCATTTGCACCAGTTTTAAGATATTTAATAATTCATCATATTAATCTCATTTTCATTCAAATTTATCTGGGAATTAAAGTCTAATAGAGCTTTTTTAATACAGGATTTCAACAAAAAATAATGCTCTATCATTGGAACAATACTGTTCCACCTAGTTGGAAAATCCAACATAAGATTCAGTTCTTTTCCATGGTCCATTTTAATATATTTTTGAAGAAGAAGAGTTTTTTACCGCTGATTTCTTGAAAAGCTTGACAATTTAGCGAACATTGTTCAAAATTATTTTAAAATCTTCCTGTTCTTCTAAAATGTATTCATTTCCAAATAACTCCATGATTAAGATAACAATACCATGATTAAAATAACAAATTTTCTCATAACAGATGCTCCATCGGTTGTTATTGCCAAAACATCACTTAAATTAATTTTAAAACTGGAAAGTTTTTTTTGAAGTAGATTAAAACTTTAGCTGAACAATTACCATAAATTCTTATAAGACCAAGATTAACATAGCTTTTGTCTGAATGCACATGTCTGAATGCAATTGTCTGAATGCACATGACTGAATGCACAATGTCTAATGCCCATTTACGTTTAAATATCGTCGATTTTTAAAGCATGTCCATTCATTAAGTGTCAAACTTAATAATGAGTTCTCTTTTGAGTACAAATTTTTTTTTAATGGTTTCCAGTTTTACTAATTCAAAATAACCATGTACAAGTTTTATAATGTGGGTTTTGCTCTTAGCAACTGAAACCCACGGGCACTCAAACTATCCCTTATGAACAAACTTTTGCAAATCCAGAAATTGAAAATCCATCCAAAGCACATAATCTTGCTATTATTTCAGCCATAGATTGTCTTTTAACATAATTAAAAATTGTAGGTTGAGTTTTAATTTTAGAAATCTTAGAAGTTTCTGGTCCTGCTTCCAAATTGGCCTCACTTTCTTTGCGTTTTATAGCTTTTTCTGGATGAACAGCCGATAGGTGACAAATTAATCCACTGGTCGATGATCCTTTGCATCCAATATTTGTTGAGCAGTATTTGTAAATGGCCTTTTCACAACTCTCGTCCTTTTTGAAATGGTTCCGAACTTCTGATGAATTCTTTTTAAACATGGTCTGATAATTATAATATGTAATAAAAATAACTTTATGAGTATAATAATAATCAAATCAATTCAAATTTTACTTTTTATTGCATACCTTTTTATCTACCAAATCTACCACTTCAAAATCTACCACTTCAAAATAATATAAATTTCACAAATGATGCTCAAATTATAAAAAAAAAAAAAAAAATGATTAATTATTAAAACAAATTCTTTATTACACAAAATTATTACACAAAATGACAAAAAAAATGTTATCAAAATAATGTACAAAAAAATGCTGAATCTAAGCCTACTACAACTTAAAATAATTTTTAAAATGCAAAAGACTACTTCGAAAAAAGTTAAGTGTTTAAAAAACCTTTTTGCAATTAAGAATAATTTTTATAATCCTGGTTTTCAATATGATTAAATCCCGGGAATCGGGAACTATAAAAATTAAGCAATTTTCCAAGATTCCGTTACCGGGAAATCCCAGTTAGGACTCACTAACAAAAAACAACTAGGTACTTAATTCCTAAAAATTATTGGTCTTTGTTCATACACCGCTTACTTAAGACTAATAGATTAATAAAATAATACATCAATAAAACTGTATATGCTATACACAATTTTAATCAGTTTTTACGTAGTGAGAACCCTGACACGAACTTAAAATAAAAAATGTTCTTTTGGTTGCTACCTCTAAATATGTTACAAACTAACAATTCTAAAACTAACATTCCTATTAACAAATGGAATGAAGGGAACCTTGTGGAGCAGCATTCTAATAACATTTATTTTTTATCATTGTATCGTGGACCACCCTAATATATATATATATATATGTGTGTATATATATATATATATATATATATATATATATATATATATATATATATATATATATATATATATATATATATATATATATATATATATATATATATATATATATATAAGTATAAGAGCGTTAATTATTTGGATTTAACGCTAAACCTTAAAGATGGTTCATTTAAACCCTACCGCAAAGCAGATAATATCCTTAATTACATACATACAAGTTCTAACCACCCACCGAGTATAATAAAAAGTGTTCCTAAAACCATTGAGTTAAGATTATCAGCAGCATCGTCAAGTGAATCGATTTTTAAAGAAAGTATTCCTCCTTATCAAGAAGCCCTAAAAAAATCTGGACACACTTGCGAACTTGCATACCATCCAATTATAAAATCTTCAAACAACAACCATAAACGTAAAATAATTTGGTATAATCCTCCTTTCAGTACAAATGTTGTAACAAAAATAGGTAAATGTTTTTTAAACCTCATCGACCACCACTTTCCAGTTAACCACAGACTCCGTAAAATATTTAATAGAAACACAATCAAAATAAGTTATTGCTGTATGCCAAACATAAAATCCATTATCAACTCTCACAATAAAAACACGTTACATGAGGAAGCAAAAGTTAATGAAAAGACATGCAACTGCATTGATAAATCCAAATGTCCAATGAACAACATTGTTTATCAAGCCACTGTTTGTTCAAACAATCCGGAGCACAAAGAAAAAGTGTATTTTGGACTCAACGAGACATCTTTTAAAGTTCGATACGCAAACCACCTCAAATCTTTTAATTCAATTAGATATAAAAATGATACAGAGTTATCTAAAGAAATATGGAAATTAAAAAAAACTTTACACCTTTTGTCAGATGGAAAATTGTTAAACATTGCAAACCATACAACCCAACATCAAGAGTGTGTAACCTCTGTTTGAACAAGAAGATTCAAATTCTAATGTATAAAGGTAAAAACCTACTTAACACAAGGAGTAAAATAATCTCGAAGTGTAGGCACAAAAATAAATTTCTTATTTCCTCCTATGATACCGCAGACTGATCCTAATTGGTTTATGTCACTTTTACGCCACATGATACTCTTAAAACTTAAAGTTTTGTTTCCATGGAGTCATTAGAACTCACGCCACCGTAATTTTAATTGTAATTTTAACGTCTATTTTAAATTTTGTAATATATGGCTGATGATTGCCGTTAGGCATGAAACTTAAAGTTCCATAATAAAAGTTTTTTCTTTTTTCGTTTTTCATTATAAACCGCTCTGTTATGAAATTTATATTTAATCAAAATAAATTTCTTAAATACTGAGCACTTTTCAACGAACAAGAGTTGTGTATTATTTTAATACAACACTACATAAAACGATATATATATATATATATATATATATATATATATATATATATATATATATATATATATATATATATATATATATATATATATATATATATATATATACATATATATATATATATATATATATACATACATACATACATACATACATACATACATACATACATACATACATACATACATACATACATACATATATAGATATATATATATATATATATATATATATATATATATATATATATATATATATATATATATATATATATATATATATACATATAAACATTCTTCTACTTTTATTTTTATAAAAAAAATTACATTTTTCATTGCATTGGCCATTCTTTCATGCTGACTACTCAATTGTTCTCTGAGTCTTTCTAGTTCACGATCTTTTTGCTTTACTTCCTCTTTGAGAGTAACTAATTCCTGAATGGTTGATTGTTTTCTATAGTGAACATCTTCTTTGAACTCGCTCTCCTTAAATAAAATTGTCATAAACCAAAAAAAAACATTAGCACAACTCAATAACACAAAAAGATTGACATAATACAAAAATATTGACACAAAATAAAAAGATTAGTGCAACACAAAATCATTGGTGCAACACAAAAATACTGTTGCAACACAAAACAATATAATTAAAATTATATAAATAAAAATATTACTATCTCAAGCTGTTTTTTTAATTCAATTATTTGTGAAGACAAAGCAGCATTTTCTTTAATAAGATTTCCACAATCTTCTGATATCTATGTGATATAATAATGACAGTCTAATGAAAAAAAATTACTGAAACATAAACATAAAATAAAGAAGGGATATATTTAACCATATTGATATTAAAAAATATTTTAGAACAGACAATTTTTACAAAAATTAATTTTTAAGTTTAGATTTAACTGTTTCATCAAATGGGATATTTGTTTACAAATATCCTGTTAGATGAAAGCATCTAAATTGTTGTGGCCTTCATTTCAAAAAATAAACAAAACATTTCCAAATTTGAATGAAAAAAAACTTTGAATTCTTAACTAAGCAAACACACTTCTTATTCAACAATTAAATATTTGATCAGAACAATGTTACCGCAATGGAATCTCTGCTAGCTCCTGCTTTAGTTAACTTAATTATGAGAGACCACAGAAACATTTGCTTACAAAACAAAAATTGCAAAAAGGTAGTTTTATACAAAAGGTATGTAGATTTTGTGGGGTATGTAAGGTATGTAAATGATATCTTTAAAAATAATAACCATACACTCAGCTTCCTAGAATAGATAAATAAACAATATCCTAACCTCAAATTTACTAAAGAGGAAGAAGTTGATCACAAATTGAACTTTGTTGATATAATGATTAACTCTGTAAATAATAACTTTGATACTTACTTAAAAATAGTCAGTTAATCTGTACTGACTATTTTTACCAGCTTCATTAATATTAAATATAAATCAATATCAACTGGGTAAGTTGCCATCTAGGTATTGTAAAAATTAAAAAAAAAAATTTCAAAAAAATGCTTTCTTCTTGAACATTTGATTGAAAAAAACCTTGAAACATTTACTAAACAACCTTATCTCTCCTAAAGAACACATGTTATTTCCAAAACCATCTGATATATATATATATATATATATATTTAAACTTCCTTATATTGGATAAATTTCAAACAAATGTCATCATCGATTAAATAAATACATCAAAAAATATTGTAAAGATAATATCAAAGCAAGACTAGCTCTTACACCATTTAAAATTAGTAGTATGCTTTCTTTAATTCATTTGTAATGAATCTGTATATTATTGAATGAAGCATATTCTTTGATACATGCAACAACAAAAAAGCCAATGATTATGCTATAAACCAAATTAACACCAAATTAGATGGCCCAAAAAAAAAATTGAGATAAAATAATAAAAATTTGTTAATTAAAGACTTAAAGATTTTGCTAATAATAAAGAGAAGACTGGGTAATAGTTAAAGGATCTGAGTGCTTTCCACAGTTTTTTAAAATTTCAAATATGGAAAATAAGATCCAAAATCATTTCAAAATTCATTTTACCTTTCATTCTATTTCTTTTTTTATTTTATTTTTACTTTACAGCTTTTATATAATGTTTTGTAAAATTTTTTGGTAATTACTTATTCTATAAAAATGTAACTATGGTAACTATTATAAAAATTAATAAAATTTATTAGTATTAGTGCTACTATAAATTGAACTTGAATTGTAGAATGGATGTGATTTTTTCTTAAACTCAATTACTCCTGAAGTTTGATTCATTATGACACATAATTATATTTTTATATACAATTTACATTAATTTTTGTAATAAGGGTGTAGTTGGTTAGCCAAAAAAAATTTGATATCAATGTCTTTAAACTATTTTTAAAACTTTGTAAATTTAAATAAATTTTTAAACCTTAATTCTTAAAGTTCGATCTTGATCAGCTTGTATTTCTTTCTCACGAAAACTGAACCGTAGCTCTTTTAACTCATTCTAGCATGAAAAAATATATTTTGTAATCACCAAATAAACTTTTTAGTATTAAATCATAAATCGAAAAAATCATAAAAAATTTCATGATACAAAATAAAAACCTTTAGAACAGAATCCACTTGCTCTTTAGATCTCTCTCGTGAATAAAAATATTTGTCCTCCAATTGTTTTAACTCTGTTTGCACTTTAAGAGATTCAGCTAATTTCTCTTCAAAAGCAACTCGCATTGCATTAAAGTCGTTTGTTTTTTCTTCCAGCTATATTCAACAAAAATAAACTTGAATAAATGTAAACAATTTAAATATCAATAAATTTTATTTCTTATATTAGCAGCCCTTGGAATTAGGGTCAGCATTCATCATTGTCAAGCTAACTGTCCAGCTGAGAGTGTTTAAGGTAGACAAATAATTGCTGACCTTATTTCTTTATTTTATGGTAAGACTTTTGTGTCAAAATGTTTATACTGACCTTTAACAGTTTAAGGTTGGCATTTTATTGCTGACCTTAATTAATTATTTTTCCTATTCCGAGGGCTGTATTAGTAACACAAAATTTCTATAAAAATAAGATTGTTTTTACAGTTTATAAACTAAAAGAACAATTGCAAGCTAATAAGTGAAGAAAACAAAAACACACTTTATTTTTAAAAAATTAAAAAAATATGCACCCTGTTTTAAAAAACAACAACAAAAAAATACTCTATTTTCTGTTAAAATAAAAAAACAAAAAAAAACCTGTTTTAAAAAAATTGAAACAAAACACACCCTGTTTTGAAGAACTTGAACTTGACTCTTTGATCCACTCAATGACAACATGCATGAATCAAAATCAAATTTTAGCTTCTCAATTTGTGAATTTTGCCTTGCTTGATCCAATTCATATCGCTCCACTTGTTTTTTAAGACTAACAATCTCATTTACTAGCTCCTTTTTTTCAACATTGAAAGATTCTAAATATACGGAGAGTGTAACAATAAAAGTGTTATCGTTAAAAGTAGATTTCAAATGAGTATATTTCTAGAAATCCACAAATGTCTTAACAATCCAATAATTTCAAGTGGATTCTATGGGTTTGTGTGTGTTTGCATGAGGCTTGCTTTTCAATTTAAGTAATGTAATTAATTTGAATATTAAAAAGTAACTTTAGACTTCAGATAATGAGTAAATAAATACTGCATTGTTCAGGAGATTAAACCAACCTCTGCATACATTTTATCTTTTATCAGAAAATTAAAAAATTAGAGATTTAATCCTCATTTAATTCTTCGATAAAACATTCACTCAAGTATGCACTCATGATTTTTTCAAATAAAAAAAATTAAAAAGCATAAAAAATTCTAGTAAAGTTTTCAAATTCTTGTAAACGTAATTAATAATGCTTACCAGTTAATAATTCAATTTTAGATTTAAATTCTTGTTGTTCTTGATGAAGAAGTGCTATCGCATTCTCTTTTGAGTTTATTTCTTGTTCTCGAATACTTAGTTCATACTCAGATGCCTTAAGAAGTTGCATAAAATATACAAATCAAATTTCGTTAAAATCAAACTAACGAATTAAATAATGATTCATAAAACTGCATACTTTAACTTTTTCAGCAAGCTTTTCACTCTCCAGTACCAGATTTAGTGGTATTTGTCTTTTGTGGTATTTGTCTTTTAAATAAGAAACTTCAAGTTCCAGTAAATGAACTTGTTGGAGCAGATTTTGTATATATTCTGATTCTACATTTATATAGCCATCACCACTAAAAAGTTAAATAGAAAAACTTGAGTAAATTAAATATATATTTATAATATTCAGCTAGCAAAAAATAATATTTCAAACTAACAAAAACGAGGCCAAACATATGACTAAATATTGAAAAATAAATAAAAATAATAATAAAAAAAAAATTTTTGTATTGGTAGATTACTTAGTTTATATATTAGATTATATACACTTATCAGCCAAACTATTAAAATATAAAACCATAAAAAAAACAGTTATTTTTAAATATTTTTATTTAACTTTAAAATATGTTTTGATTTATCAACCCAACCATTAAAACATAAAACAGTTTAAAGAAACAGTTATTTTTCAATATTTTTATTTAACTTAAGTATAATGTATGTTTTGATTTACTAGATTATTTTCATTTATGTTACAAAAAAAAAGTGCTTAAACAATGCAATTAAATAATAATTCGGCAGCTCTGCTTCTTGAATAATTTTATTTCAATAAGCAAATAGAAGTTATAATAAGTTAACTGAACTGCTAACATAGTTATTATTTACAGCAGCAACCATTCATAGAATAAAGAAGAGAAGTAACATAACAATCATAGTGTCTGCTACAAGAGCATTATAAAAAGTACCTGAGTATTATTTATTAGATGATTCTGAAATTGATTACTGAAATAGATAGTAATCCTACAATATAACAAATTATTGTATTAAAAAGTTTGTATAAAATGTGTATCATAAAGTGATTAATGATTAGAAAGTGTTTTAGTTGTAGAAAAGAAAATAAGGAAGTGTTTTAGCTGTAGATAAGATATAGATAAGTCTTATTTGTAGATAAGATATAGATAAGTCTTAGCTGTAGATAAGATATAAATAATTCTTAGCTGTAGATAAGATATAGATAAGAAAATTTATCATAGTAATCATAATCATGTTTAGATTTAAGGTTGAGTTAAACTAAAAATTTTATTTTATTGCTGATATCTTAGTAAAAAACTTTGTAGAACAATCACTAAAAAAGATTTTATTATTTAATTTATGATCTTATTATTTTATATAAAAAAAAGAAAGCAATATTTTTAAAACTTGTTTTGTTTTTGTTATAGAAAGCTTGATAAAACTTTTATATGAAAAACACATTTTTAAAATTTTTCTAAAAGTATTAAAAATACTTCACTAAATGGTATCTATATGTATAGTTTAGTTTTTCAAATGATACTTAAAAATTTTTCATCAGTTTGTGAATCATTGTCATTCTGCTTTAAACTTAAATTAATTCATACAGTAAATGTTTTATCTGGTAAAAGATAAAAACAAGTCTAAAAATGTAATAACTACTATATCTTTTCGAAAAGATATGTTTTAAAGAAAAAGTATTAGATGTAAACTTAAGCTACATTTCTGGTAAACAGTTTATCAAATTCTTAAAAAACAACTAATAATCATTGTTTCTCTATTTAATATAGAGAAAAAAAATTCTTCAAAAACTTTAAAACTTCTAAAATTATTTTAAAATGTTTTAACAAAACTTATAAAAATATATCTAAATTGAAGCAAATTAACATTTGCTTCAATTTAGATATATTTAATATAATTTATTATATTTTAAAGGTATAATTAATTATAATCTAATAAAAATAATTATATCTATTACTTTACAATTTGTATTATTTTTTTTAAATATATAAAGAAAAATCTATAAATTCGAAAATAAAACAATACCTTTTTCTAATAGCAATTGAACTGTTTAATGGATTTCGATCTTGTGTTGCATATGCTTTTGAAGTATATATTAGAGGAAGATTGCTAGTTGGAACAGATGATGCTATAACAACAGGCTTTCGATATTTAATTCGACTGTTCAACATTTGGAAAACAAATATTTAACAATAAAAATCATAAACATTTATAAAAACTTTTTTGTGTCATATTCACAAAAAATATAGACCTTCTAAATATCAGTTTAATAACTTTTTAAAAGATCAGATTTGACTGAGTTTTATAACTTGATAAGATAAAAGTTTTATAATCATAAATTATTAACAAAATAAAAATTAATAAACTAGAACTTTATTTAAAAGGAATGAAACCTGAATATTTACTATTAATAACTCATACGCTTTCAATAAATAAAATATAAACCTACAGTAAAGAAAAATTAATAAATAAAATGATGAGTCACTTTATTTGTAATACTTCTATAGATATACAAGTATAAAAATAAATTTCGGAAATTTATAATCTGTAGTTGATAAAATCATATTTTAAAAAAAAAACAATTTTTATTATGTTAGATTTTTGGACTAACAGTATTCAAAGTAAACTTTTCAATCTACCTAACACAAGTATAAAAATACACTGGCTAAAACATAGAAATTCGAAAAAAATTTATTTCATAAATTATTTTCAACTTGAGCTTATATTGGTAAAATAATGGTTAAATTTGTATGTATAATTTAGAATACATCGAATGTCGTTAACCTGTGGTCTTCGTTTTTTTTTCGTCAGATTTGTTTACACCGCCCATTATGGAATAAGTTTCCAAGGCATTAATGAAACGGTATAAATACGGAAATTGGTTTGGCTTATTACTTGTTTAAAAAATTCTATATAATAAGAGAATTCTTGCTTTTTAGGCTCAAATAAAAAATTCCCACAATTTCAAGGTAGTTACAGGCCTAAAATAATTTTTTTTGGTTGTTGTTCCCTTGTCAGTGGAGAACTTTTATGACTGTATATCCTAAGTGGATTTAGCGGGTCTCCCTTGCGGCAGCAGGCATTAAGATAGTCGATGAATGTACTGAAGCCAATAAACATTCCTTTCTGTTTAAAAAGTCTCCATTGACGACATAATACAGCGCAATTAGCAAACAAAATATAATTTAGTCCGCTTGACTGTTGCATTACCCCATTTTAATACTGTAGTGAGTCTAGACTCATTTTGTAAATTTGAAATTAAAGACGTCTTGTCTATATCTATAGAACTTATTTTACAAAACTAATAAAATATTTTTACGTCACAAAGCACCACAAAAAAATAAAAAACGAGCACAACAACAACAACAATAAAAATAGATTTTCACAGTATTAAGGAATAGGGATGAAAAAAAATTGAAATTAGAGCTTGGTTTCTAATACTGTCGCATTTTTATAAACTAAGAAAATATTTATGTTATGAAAATCTACAATCTTTTGAAAATAGGTATGAAGTAACAAATAAGATGAAGAAATCATTCCTTAAATTATTTTCAACAATATTCCTCCCATATTTTTATTTAAAAAAACACTTAAAAATAACAATGAATGCTCTCAAAGTATAATACAAGATTTATTAACAAAAAGATATTTTATTAATAAATAAATAAACAAATATATATATATATATATATATATATATATATATATATATATATATATATATATATATATATATATATATTAGGGATATGACAATTTTGCAACCCTATATCCCCATACTAAATTTAGTGGAGTTTTTGTTCAAAAATCAAAAAAATAACAAGCATTTTTATTATATGTCAAAAAAGTTCACCCCCCAATTAAAAAATATTTATAAAAAAATGTAGTTTTGCAACACATCTTTTACTACTTTACAGAAACCAATAAACATGTATAATTAAAATTTGTCTACTGTGTATTTAACAATAAGTATTTGATATTTAGTTTTCCTATGCTATGGCATAAAGGCATTAAGTCTTGCATCACATTCACAGCACATTTTGCACATATATTTGACCGTTGTGTTGGTATTGGTGTTGGATCAGTGGACCAAAACCTTTTCAATGATTTCAATGCTTTGGGATGCTCATTGGATGCTTCTAATAGATTAACAAAATCTGCAGGATTGAAGTAGTGACCCCCAAACCATATATCACCACATGAACCACAGATGAAGTCACATGCTGCTTGAGTAGATTCTGATTCTTGGTATTCTGGTATTAAACTGTAAGCAAGTAGAATAAAAATGGCTCTCGAATTCCATTTTGCATTGCTTATAGCTGGAAGTGATTTAAAATTAACTTTTGGAAAGTTACCTGTGCTTTTAAATTTTCTATAACATGCTATTAAGTGATTCAGGAAATCTATGTCATCTCTCCAGCGAGTTCGCTTCACTTTCGTCAAAGGATTTCCAATATTACAAAACAATAACTTTAAGTTTTCGTAATCTTGCTGCAACCTTGCCACAAAAGGGTAATGGAGATATGGTGACATTGTTGATCCTTCAAAATGATCATTCATGACATGTTTTAAAAGAGTATCTAGAATATAGTGTTGGCATCCAATAAAAACAGGCTTTTCTAGTCCAATGGTTTTAAAATGTTTCTGTAACCGTGTAACTACACCATTTCTTAATCCTGCATTTTTAGATGTTGTGTCAGATACGATCATTTTTATGGCTGGCCACAGCTCATATTCATCTAGCACATGCTTTATCCCATTATATATTGTTTCACTTTTTCCATTCATCAGCTCCAGAACAGCAAGTCGAACCTCTCTATTTTCATTCATTCATTTTCATTTCTCATTCATTTCTTCTCTATTTTCATTTTTCAAAACAACTACTTGATATTCCATTTTCTTTATGTGTTTTCCATCAAAGTGCAAAGACCACTTTTCATTTTTTAAGTTTTCCATATAATTTACTTTCAACTTTTCCCCTTCTTTCATAACACCTTTGTAGATAACACTTTGCGTTGGAGTATAAATAGAAATTCCACTTTCTGAGAGAGTTTTTCATACTTTATGTGCTTTTTTGGTACTAATCTTTGCAGAAATCACGAAATTTACTGCTGAATTTGTTTTTTGTTTTTTAAATGATGACGAGGGACCTTCAGCTTCAATATCACTGCTGGAACACTGCTCTTCGCTTTCTGAAGGATCTCCTCCACTAGCTGATTCAACAAAACCTTGTCCTTGACTGATGGACATTTGTTTCCTTATCATCACTAATTTTCTTGGATGAATACCTTCAGCATCTTTAATTGTGGTACAATATCCAGCTCTTCCATTTGTTGACTTTTGAAGACAATAAAATTCTTTATCTTCCTGACACAATCATTCACCTTTCTCATCGGTTATGTCAAACAATCGTGTAGAATTTTAAGTTCCGGGTTTTCGACTATCTTTGTCAAGTTTTGTCAATACATTTTCTATTTTTCTCTCTGCTGCCGATTTCCCTTGTTGAATAGGAATATTTAGCTTTCTCCATAGCAATTTAGTTTCTTTAGCCACAATTGTAATTCTCTCCTTTCTACTTTTCACATTTGATGACAAACTTTTAAATCGATCAATGATACGCTGTTCTGTCGGCAACTTATTCATTTCACTAATACTTTTAACAACAGTAGTACATCTTCTGGAAGTTTTAGCTTTTTCAAACCTTAACTCACTAAAAAGATAGGAAAAATTATTTTCAGCTTGAGGGGTGATTTTTTTTTGACAATTTACATAAAAAAAAATAGATATCATGTTTAAAAATATAATTTCTCCACACATGGTTACATGGGGAATAAAAAATTCTAAAATTTTTTTTTTAGTCATACCCCTAATACATCTCACTTACATTCGCCCCCATCTTGAGTTTGCTGTACAAGCCTGGTCACCGCATTTAAAATCAGACCATTTCTCGAGCAAGACCAAAAACGAGCAACAAAAACAATATCGACTATTAAAAACCTGTCCTATGAAGATCGACTCCAACGGCTCGGTTTAACAACTCTTGAAGAACGCCGCAAAAGAGCAGATCTTATCGAGCAATTCAAAATCACTCGTAAACTCGAGCTTGTCAGTTTTGTCGTCCCGCAAAAATTTTCAAAAAGAAAAGATAAGTACATTCTAAGAGACCATAACCATAAACTAGAACGTCAGATGGTAAAAAACTGTGAGGAGCGATATAACTTTATTTCAAACAGAACTGTCGCCCCATGGAATGCGCTTTCGCAAGAAGCAGTGAACGCTCAATCCATCAACGCTTTCAAAAATAACATAAGAAAGTAACTTTATAGATACAACTGCTGCTTTGTCTGAAGCATCTGTATCTCCATGTTCGTCAGCATAGAGGGGTGTAGCACCTCTTCATCAAATTATAAATGGATTATTGTATTTGATCACTGAAATAAATAATAATAATAATAATAATAGCAATAATAATAATAATAATAATAATATGTATATATATATATATATATATATATATATATATATATATATATATATATATATATATATATATATATATATATATATATATATATTAATATTTAATGCAAAAAAGTTCAAAAGTAGTTCTATGTGATACAGTAGAATCAATTGTGCCATGTGACGAAACAACACTTGTCTCAAAAACCATCAAAAACAACAATTTTTCCCATATTGATGTAGCACATATGATACATATGATGTATCATATTTGCTACATCAATATGGGAAAAATTGTTGTTTTTGATGGTTATTCTGATAGTCTACCTAATACCAAATCAGAAGAACACAGACAACGCAAATAATTCAACCCAGGCAAATTTTATTTCGAACCCTTGCAACAGAGCTAAATTTATTAAAGCCTTATCAGCGCGCCTTGCAGATTCTGGAGTTCATTTTAAACAGGCACCATAAGATATGGATACACTAATTGTCAATACAGCAGTTAATATGTCAAGATATGGTTTCAACGAACCTGTTGTAATTATAGGAAAAGACACAAATTATATGAGGCTCTAACAGATTCAACTACTAATATTTTCATAATGAAGCCTAGCAAAGATATTAGGCAAGGCAAACTTTATAGAGCAAACAAGCTGATTTTATTTTTTACATGCAATGTCTGGATGCGGTTTAACATCGCTTGCGTACAGTCAAAGTAAAAAAAATGCCTTCAAATTGTGAAAAAAACAATGTGGATATATGCAAAGTTGTTGATTTATGTTACATGCCAGAAGCCAAACACGATGAAATTGCTCATCCCG